CGCTCTTTCAGTTACGTCCTGTTAATCTGACATCTGGCGCTCCAGCACAGGGACTTTACTCTAACAGGGGCCATAAACTGCAGGGCCACTCCTTCTGTTTCCCCCTGACCATATCGATGACGATGATAGATAATGTAGTCGAGTCTCCAGCCACACCTGAGTCACAACGATCCACAGGTTTTTATTATTTTGAGAGGGTTTGTGTTCTGCAGAGGACGCTGGGTATTTCTACTTGAGCTTTCGATTGTTTTCTTTTTCTTTAAAATGCCAAAAGTTGTGGATGAGTTGCGGCGACGTTGCACAGCCTACAATATTGGAGGTTATTTTATTAGCATGTAGGGTAATCTGGTTCTTTACAAGCATATTTTAAAATTAATTGATAAACTGCTGCTGTGAGCGTGCCACAGGAAACAGAAATGATCCAGCATCTCGTACTTTCAGTTTGCTCATCTGGATGTCAGTTTGTTTTTTAATGAGTTTTGTTTTGATGCTTTATTAGTAACACAAGTTCTACAAGATAAAATATATCAGTAAATATCCTATTTGTGAATTTTGAGGTATCTCAGAGGAGACGTTTGCTAATGCTAAATGACAGGAAACATTCAGCAGCATCATGCTAGAAAAGCTCAGCTGCAGGTCAGTGATGGAGCCACAGGCTAAATGAAGATTTCTGGCACAGAAAGGTTTCTCACTAAATCCAAACGCCCTACAGAAAAACACACAAACACACCTCTGGGTTGGTCAACAAAAATATTCCAGTGCTGGTGTTGTTTTCATTATGCAAGCGAGTGATGCTGATACTGACATTTCTATGGGAGAGGGTGTTTCCTGCATACAATACATAATCGTTATAATTACATTTATAATTATATCCAACGAGATGAATGGTTGTTAGTTATGGCTGTGATGCACAAACCTTACATACATGTCGTAAATTTAAAACTATTTTTTTTTATATTTAAATTTATTTATTTTTATTTAAATAATCGCTGAATAATTTTTTCACCCCTTTTTCAGCCTCGACTAACAGATTCAGTGTTCATATTATCAGTAATCACAGATCTGTGTCCAATTTTCCAGTCAAAGAATTTCAATAAAGAAGTGAAATAAATAAAGTGAGACTGAGTGAAGTCAGCTATCGAGCAGCTGTTATTGCCCCACATGCTCAACATCACCTCCACCAGTTGTTTTATTGTGCTGGAGGGAAGTGAAGCTGCGCCACTTCATCTGTTCTTAAAACCCACAGCTTACAATATTGGAGGTTATTTTTATTAGCAGATCACATGTAGGGTAATCTGGTTCCCTACATGTGTCAGTTACCACACTGAACCCTAAACTGAAGTTCATACTTCATCAGTACAGCCGTGCTCTCTGGCTTCTGGGCGATGAGAACAGGAGAGGAACAGAAACGTCCAAATAAAGAAGTTTCACTGCTGAGTCAGCTAAAGAGGAGGAGTGTACCAGAGTCGCTGCCATGCTACTAATGACATAATCTCCACTGAAACCATCGTGAGCCACGCAGCGCAACCACCAGAAATATTATTCTGTGTATTTCTTTAACATTTAATTCACTAATTTTCCTGATTAAACATATTTTGTAACACTAACCACACGAGAAAGCAATAGAAACATTGATGCAATTAGCTTTGAAAGGTTTGTGTGTGAGTCATACGTGCTGACTTCAGGCTGCAGGTTAGCAGGTTGTACGAGATGCTCGAGGTTTTATAGTTTTATGGTTGACAACAGTTAATATTTGATCATCATGAGAGTCCAAAGTCTGACTTTTATGGTCTCTGTATCACCAGAGAGAAAGGAGAGACTGGCAAAAACAAACAGGTAAATCACGAACATGGTGCACAACATTTAACATAAAGGAAAAAACTGTTACACATCCAGATACAAGCACTGAATGTCCTTATTTTTAAATGAACAATAACATTTACAGAAGTTGCTTTTACAGTTAAATGGACATCTATGCAAAACCACTCCTGCTGTGAAGAAGCAGGTCAGCTTATCAGTTCTTCAGTTTGTAAAGCTCTTATTCATCCCTTTTTCTGCCCTTCCTTGGCCATGATGCTCTGTATCTCAACTCGTCACACAATGTACAAAAAGTTAATCACATTTTAATGCATTTGATACACGAGAACCATTTTTCAACATGCACTGAAGCGCCTCAGCACGTCAAAGACACGCCATGAGACAACAGCCTGTGATACAGTTTCAAGCAACTAATCACATCAGGTCTAACTGCATGTGCACAACATCACAGGGATAAAGTCCAATCCAAACAACCACGGGACAGTTATTAAACTGAATGTATGAGAGGAGGGCCCGACTGTACATTCAGCCTTAATCATTCATTAGTCGTTTTAAACACTTATAACGGTATTTTGAAAAGAATGAATAAGTCACAACAAAGTCACCATATAGTTTTTTAAAAGGCCTTTCAAGAAAATTAAATTGGTGTGATTTAGAAATATGATCACTCGACAATAAAACAAGCTCGTATGACTCGTGACCTACATTTGCAGTGCTTTTGCTCCTCCCTGCCCGCGGGTGGTGCTGTTCATCCAGTTCTTTGTTTTAAGTTATCTGAGCTCTGAGCTGCAGTCACCAAACAAACAGACGATCCTGCGAGCAAATGTTTGGCTCTGAAAGAACAAGATGAGCAACTGTGTAAATATTGCAAATGTCTTCTTTAAACCCTGCAGGGCCGTGAAGCATTTTCATTTCTGCTTTTTGTTTCGGCTTCAGCACTTGTTGTTTCTTCTTCAGTCACCTTTCCTCACTCATCATGTGGTTGTACACCTCTCTGCATTCAATCAGTAGTTATTATTCATCTCTGGCTTTCTACTACAGCATGTCTTTTGGTCTTCCTCCCCTCTTCCCCAACCAGTTGCAGTAGATGGCCGCCCCTCCCTGAGCCTGGTGCTGCTGAAGGTCTTGTTTTGGGGGGTTGAGGGGGTGTAAAGAAAAATATTAGACAATGATACCTCGAGTAAATCAAAGTACAGCATTTCCAGAGATATCCAGACCTACTTGGCCCTTTGTTGCCACCGTTATGTTGCCACTAGGGCTGCCACGATTAGTCGACTATCAAAATCGTCGACGACTGATTTAATAGTCGACGCGTCGTTTGAAGCTTTGTAAGATCACAAAAGACGCAGGAATAAGTAGTAGGATTTAAG